TTTAATAATTTAATAACAATAATTTTTAATAATTTTCACATTAAAATATATATAATATGTATAGAGAAGACTTCAAATATAATATATCACTTCCATAATCATTTAATTCATGGCTTTATGAATTATTAGTAATAACATTAGAGAAATAACATTTTTGATATATAAATATTCTCATGTTAATTCTCTTAAAGTTGCAAAGTGGCCCAGTTTTGTAGCTACCGTACATCAGTCTAAAATAAATACGACTTGGAATGTTCCTCGAGTGTCCACACCAGTGATGTTCGCACATGTTTAATATTCTAAAACATCTCCGCGATATTTCCATACATCAAAGTCCTTGTTAGAGCATTTGCTGCATTTGACAGGCGAGACATTTCGATATATTTCTATTCGAACCCTACGGGGTGGTAAAGAGCCGCTAACGCATTAACTACGTCGTTCGTGTCACCGGGCTATCGGATTTCGCAGAGGGGACTCCGCGAGCACCGCGAATAGTTGTATCTTCGCCAGTCGCGTTCTATTTTCCATTGGACAAAACCGATGATTTAACCGCGAAATACACCGATTGTGTCCGAAACACATATGCGGCCTATGAAGAGAGAGACAATTTATCGTTAGCATTGGATTTGCGTGTTACTATTTGCAGAAAAGAGAGAGGAAACGTGGTCCGCAGTTTCGAACTCGAAACTGTCGCGAACTTGTTTGTCTCATACTATTTTATGGCATAATATAGAGATTAGATACCGACAGTCGAAACTTGTTGCGCGAAATTTTATTTTCCCGATTAACGTAGGGTAAAATCACTAAAATTAAATGTGGATCATCAATTAAGTCCTAAACACAATATAAAGCAACAACGATAAGAATAGCAATAAGAATGTTACAGAAATAAGCGATATAATATAATTGTTGTTTCCCGTTGCACAATGCCGCGAAAGAAATAAAAAACGCCAACTAATTTGATTTCATATATAGACTGTAGTATTCTTCCATTCACTTTAAAGTTAGCGCATATAAAAAGAATGAAAAATCTGAACGCTGATTGGTAGGCTATAAGGCGACAGACACAGAATTCCAACTGGTTGCGTATTGTGTTTAGGGCTTTATAATTTTAATTCTTTTTTATTACATATATTATGATAAGCATGCGCAAATCATTTTTATTGTCCTTACGGGATGTAGGAATGTCACCAAAAAGGATAAAGCACTTGGTGAATTGATCCGCGATTAGAACGTAGGATCTAATTGTGGATAATCGTCATTACTTTATTTAATTCAAATTAAAACATACAAAATGCTAATGAAATAAAATCATCCATAATGTAATCTTTGATCAGTCATGACTATTAAATATTTTATTAATTATTTGCTATTTTTCTGGATAAAAATATGAATTTTTTTTTAAAGAATGCTCTACAACTAATGATTTTACCTTATATATATAACAATAAATAATGTCGATATAAAGCTAACATAGGATGTTTGAATGTAATTTAAATGCAATTTAAGAAAGTAAATATACGTATATGTTTTAACCATCAGTTTGAGTCCTCATCAGTACAATTGACGCGACACAAATTATTCGGAAAAACGCATGAAAGAAAATGCTCTACATATGGATTAATGAATTATTAGATGTCTATTTGTCGAATTTTTGTTAAATGTTGTTATTTGTCAAATTATCCATTATATATATAGTGTATATACTTTTATTTTTAAAAGTATAAAAATCGCTCATATTATATAAAACCAGAAACATAAAAAATCAAGTCAATAATCGAGCAAAATTCAGATGTAGTTAAGATATTTATTTATTATTGTCTGTATTAAGATATTTATTTATTATTGTAGTAATTAATTAAGATATTTATTTATTATTGTCAAAATTATTATGAACGTATAAATGAACGTTTCGTGACCATAGATTCTTCAGCACTTCTTCAGCATAAACAATTAAATCGTTAATATAAAATTGTCAATTTTGACATAACGCAAAAATGTAATGTAATCGCTAATGTAATATTGTTGCCGCAAAAGATGTACTGGTTTTGAGCTCCATGTACATAAAATAATTGTGAACGTTGTACATACTTCTTGATAGTTGGAAAGTAGGAGCCAGTCCTTGATTTATTATAATTATCAATTAATTTCAATTGATTGGTCATCAATATTTTGTTGTTGAGCGAAAATCCGGTGACAAACAAAGTCAGTAATATAAAAATTGTATTATCAATCATCGATAATTTATTGAATTATTATATTTAAATGAATTAATTTCAAAAATTATAATTGCAAGCCAATATGGAGACTGTTTCGGTAACCTAAAAGCTTAGGACGCTCGCACGGAATGCAAGAGATCCAGGTTTGACTCCTGGCCGAGGCAATATTTTTCGCAATAAGTTTATTACAATTTTGTAAGATTAAATTTGGGAAATTTGGATTATTAATATTTCAAATTGATTGCGTTGAAAGTCTGACAACCATATCGGTACGCAATTATAATTTCTGAAATTAATTCATTTAAATGAATATATATAATAATTCAACGTCTTAACACTCAAATCGTAGTAGCGCTTCGTATTTAAAATAATGTAAAAATTACGGCTTAGTAGTCTAATAGTTATTAAAAAGAAAGAAAATTTGATATTAATACAGTTAATTTTGTAAAAAAGAATCAAAAACTTACATCAGAATCTAAGGAATCAAAGTGAATCATTCCAGCTCGATCAAACGCACAAATTTATGCTGAAGAAGTGACCCGTGATCACGAAACGTTCATTTATATAATAAATATCTTAATTAGTTAACCAATACTTAATTTTGCTCGATTGATCTGGTTTTTTACGTTTTTATTTTTAAGCTCTTAAACAACATGTTGCCGGAGTAAATAAGAAATAAATTGTAAATAGTAGAAAATGAGCGTGAAAGACAAACGTGACAGGTCAGGAATATTGTAATAAAATTTCGCAGAACAAGCAGTACGCAAAACAGTATGTTTTATAAACAATCGAAAATGTATTATACAATATCTTACTTATGAAATAAAACAACATAAGAGAGCCATTTAAGCAAATATTAAAAGAATATATATATTATTGTAATTAAGAGGATGCTGAAGTGACCAAATTATCGTCATTACAATTGTATAAAAATCTCCGAATTGACTGAACTGAAAAAATTCTCTTACAGGATTAAAGTAAAATTAAGTAAAATTAAATTAAAGTAAAAGTAACGCAAAATTAAGAAGCGCAGAGTGGAATTTATATATATATACTATAAATAAAAAAAAAGTTAAGTAGTTTTTAAGAAATAGTTTTTAACTTTTTTTTATTTCAATATAAAATCCTGTGTACCCACTTCGTCCTAATTTTACGTCTATACTTTAATCCTCTAAAAGGATTTTCAATTCCAGTCCAGTCCAGAGATTTTTATACGACTGTGTCAATAATTTGGTCACTCTAGTATCTCCTTAATATTATTTAGATTGTGAAATTTAGATTTTAAAATTATTTATATAAGTTATATTTTCAAATATCTGAAAAAGCTAATATCGTAGAGTCACATTCATTCATTCTCTCTCTCTCTCTCTCTCTCTCTCTCTCTCTCTCTCTCTCTCTCTTTCTTTCTTTCCGGGTTGCCTGAGTTTGCCAGGTCTGACGCGTATTACTACTCCTACGCAGCGGACGCACGTCAATCGACAGCGCTGACGCGTTTCCCTCGCGCGTGCCTCCGCATGACGAACTTAGATTAATTTCCGATAGTATCACTGATTTGCATGACAAGAGTTTGACGGTGAATGTCACTATAGTCAGCTTAAGACATCGCTTTAAGATCTTATCGGTCCCTTTTATCAATAACGGAATTTTCAAGGAATTTCATCATTAGCAAGAAGATTGAAAATTAGATTAAAAAACTGCTAAAACAAAAAATGTATTTAACGCGTTGATGAAATTCGTTGTGACGAAGACATTAATTTCATATATTTTTAATATGAATTGCGCACGCAAAAGAATAATTTATTTATTTTTATAAGTCATAAAAATTATTGGAGAGAGATATGAGAAAAACTTACAAAGCTATTAAAAACATAAATGTCAATCTTTATTATTAACACGTTATTAATTTTGATAAAAATTAATTTAATAAAAATACACAAAAGATTATATAAATTATAATAAAAAATCGAGCTATATTTATCATAATAGATCAATGTACCAATATCAACAAATTTAACCATTTTAATTAACAATTCCAATTAGTTAATTAAAAAATGTAGATACTTATAATTCTTTAGTAAGAATCACATTGGCGTAGTTTAATTTAATTAAGTTGTAATTACAATGCGCTATTAAATGTCGGATTTGACTTCAAACAGAACCATCTGTAAAAGGTATGCATAAGATTCAGCTACGTGTGCACTTCGAAAAGTAAAAATCTACATCGTATATCTACAAGTGAATTCAGCCAATATTTGCTGCTAGGTGCATGGTCTACGATCGATGCAATTACGTATCCGACACTCTCAAGCGTGATATTCGACTAATTACGGAATAAAAGGGAAAGAAAAAGATGAGTTCAGCAGAAAATAGTTGCCACTCCTACCTGCAGGTTCTTGAAATGATGAGAGCCGCAAAGCGAGCTCAGGAATCTGCTCAAAGCGCATTTCCGCGTGTGCTGAGTAATCCCTACATTCGTTGCAGCTTCCGTCACAGATTCTCTTCCGGTTATCGGTGCTACACCGATTTCCGATCCTCTAGCCATCTGCGAACAGACCGACGAGATTCTTTGAAGAATATCGTATAGAATATTGCGTCGTAAAATGTATTCATTTTCGAAACGCAGACTACAATAAAAATTATTCTTAATTTTATATATAATGTCTTTAATTTTATATAATAAATTAGAAACATATATTACACGATAACGTCTACATAAATTTATACCGAAATTTTATTTAGGCACTAAAGGTCTAGCTTAGATTTAAGACTTTAGTTATAGCTGTATTCACATTTGAGTTATGACAATTTTGATATTTTTTAAAATCATCTTTGTATTTTAAAGTTTGTCGATGATTTTTTTATAAAATTAATTTATTTTTGAAAATTAATAGTATAATGTTTACTTAACTCTTTCATGATAATAACTTAAAAATTACGTTTTTAGTTGTGTTATTTTTTAAATAAGGGATATCGTGATTCTGTTAATTTCAAATTCTTGAATAAAATATTATTCTTCATAAACAAGACACAAATAATTCTCAAACTATTAATCATTAAAAGTAAGGTTTTTTTTTTATTAGGAATTAAATTCTGAAAATAGAAAGATACTTGAATGTCACTTTACAAGTACAAAATATGCGTCGATAAATGTTAATCACGGACTTTTACTTGCAAATATATCGAAAACGAGTATATTTGAAGCTAATAAAAGATGATGATGCAAATATTATCACGTTACGTCGTTCATGTTTCGATTAATTTCAGGGTACCCGGTAGTATCGTTACGTCACGATTCGTCGCACAAACAGTACAGTACATGGTGCATAAATGTGATTTAACGAAAGGCACACACTACAGTCGACGGACGTGTTTGCTGGTGTTTGTCCGTAATACGATAATCGCCTACCCCAGTACGATTGTTTGTACATACGTTGGCCGCGAGCAGTTTCCGTAGCAATAATTCCTGTTCCAAGAGAGATCATGAAACATGCGAAATACACATGAAACGTGTAGCCGTGTGAGCGGAAAATTATTACGATTTGTTTATTCATCCCGTTTACTACGATATCGCGATTTTTTTCTATCAGACGCCTTAATGTATTTACGAGGATTGCACCGTTCATTTTCGACGCGCAAAATCATAATTTTGATGAAGACAACTCGGTCAGTTCATGAATTACGGCATGAATAACAAAAATTTCGTCCGCAAATTCAATATAGCAATGCGAATGAAAAAGATCTGTTCGCGTTGCTTGAAATCATCAAAAATTATTGCATTTAAAACGGGATAAACATTTAATATTTGAGTGCTGAAGAGAAAGGAAAAAAAATGCTAATATACGTGCAAAAAGTGCATGCAACGCGGACAGATCTAATGTGACTAAAAAGTCAAATGAGTTTCATATCAACAGAGAGTCGGACTTTATTGATAAAGTTCAATATCGGAATGCACGAAGTCGCGCCTCCACCTTGAAAATTGAGTGGCTGCATCAAAGAGAAAGAGATCTGACAAAGTGGTTTTGTCTTTCCGCACAGTTTCTCGTTTCCTCATTTTACTCAGTGATTTCATACACCTTCTGCTAGAGACTCGGTCGCGGTAATGGAGAAACGTGATGCGCGTGTGCACCACATGGACGTATCACTCATATACGGTCACGTATACAAGCAGTTGTTAATGTACTCTTTCTCGCAGATGTTTCGACATTTTACCCGGTCATTCGATAATGACGCAACGTTCTCCAATGTCAAAAGTTATATTATCCATGGATAATAATAACTTGTCGGAGAATTTACTGAAATACCGAAATTGTAAAACATATAACTCTACTTTTTCAATTTAAATTCATCGCTTATAGCAATTAATTAAATTATTAATCTTACGCAAATTGCGAGTATCATCTTTTTCTTCAATTCAATTAATTTTATTGAAATTAATAATCATTTTGTATGAACTTCGAAAAAAATGTTTCTATCTTAAAACAGAAATCTATATTACATTTTTTGATGATATAATATAAATCTGCGGATAGCAAATAAAATTTAAAATGAATGTTGAGAAAGTACACGTGAATACATATTTATATAAACCCTGTAAGAGTAATACATTTTTACAACATTCACTTTAAAATTAAATTTGAAATAAATTCGAGGTTAATTAATGGAAAATGAATGATTCATTCAAAATTAATGAATTCAAGATCTGTACATTAATTACACAACTGAAGATGGAAATGTATGTAGTATTGAACAATGAAATAAAAAACCTGAAAAAGTTACATCGATACAAATACATTGATATAGAATAATAATAGATTCTTTACTTTCAAAACATTTTTGAGCAAAATCAATTAAAAAAATGAGTTTTTTTATGACAAAATGATGTTCCTCAGAAGGTTGTTGTCTCCAATATAATAATAAATAATTATCTATATTGAATATTAATATCTATTAGCTATTGTCGCTTGCTAATTATAAATATTCATTTGACATTATTCAATAATTAAAAAAAATTAATTAGCGCTATGAGACACTTGCTACTTAATGAATAACATAAAGTGTATAAAATTATAAAATTAATCCGACCTACTCATTTATTTCTTACAAAATTCAAATAGTTTTCTAAAAAGTGTACACTACAAAATTCCAGTAGATTTTTTTAAAAAGTGTACACTGCAATTCTTATCATACCAATTTAATAGTATAATTTATAATTTTATTTCAGTCTATGCTAATTATTATTTAGCGATTAAATCATTATAAAATTATAGCATTAAATAGTATAAAGTAATTTTTATCCTCTGACATTTCCTCTGATGTTCAAAAATGTTCTTCATTTCTAACTTTTTGTATAGCTATATTATTTTACATTAAAGTTGAAGAATAAAATTTATTCGGCCATAATCGGACATTTATTATACATTTATCCATGATAATGCATTTTATAAAAAGCTAAAACTCACCGTGATAATAGAGGGACGCGGCGCGCCGGTGAAGTGTTCGATGACCTCCCAATTGGATTTCTTGATAGGCGGGGTGTGCGGCGTTCTCGGTGTATTAGGGGTGTGTGGTTGTGAGGATGGTGTAGAGGCTTTGGAACCCGACGTATTAAACAGCAATTCAACGCGAGGTTTACTGCCGTCATGACTGCTGCTCACATGTTGCCTGAGGCTTGCCCATCTCCTGGTGGACCTGGGGGCTCCGCTTATTCTGTGCCCGATTTCGCCCTGGTGGAAAAGGTCACAGTCATTCAGTTGACAAAATTATGCTCTCCATGATTAATTAATCATGAAATTTCTCTAAAAATTATATTTGTGATTTCATATGTCTTCTTTTATTTGAAAATAACAAACAAAGAATTCTAAATCTCTTCTAAATCTCTTATCTTACTTATAATCAAAACATGATTTTTATAATATTTCATTTTCTTGAAGAAACAGTTATCTATTGTATCTGTTATTATAAGGTATCAATAACTTATGAATTATTTCTATACAGCAGCTAAAATATAGATGTTTTTTTTTAAAAAGTAGATAAAAACGTAGTGCATAATTAATTTGTTGTAATGACTGTAGCCTATATAAATAATTTGCATATGAATTTATATGTAAACAACATTTTTTATTGACATTTTTAAATACATAAAATATTTTTATGTACTTTACTTAAAATATGATCAACTATATTTATCATACTTTACTTAATGTAAAATGTCTAATAATAAGCTTAAAAAGTTGAACGAAAAATTGATAGAAAAATAATTATTCTGATGCCATTTAATTTAGATATAATTTCTCTGTTTTAGAGAAAGATATTTTAAGACATTTTTAATTTCAGAAGAGTGTCACAGAGACGCTATTATTTATGTCGCCTTAGGCATAGAAAGTATCTACTTGGTTCTGTTCAAAGATAAAACATCCCAAGCAACGTCAAAAGAAAGTCGACACCCGTTACGTAAATTTTCGTAACTTTGCGCGGAAATTGCAGTATGAAAAGAACGTGTGAGCCACGTTTTTGCACTACAATATATGAAAAAACTACGTCAAAATTCATTCAAAATCTTCTAACTTCAGCACGTCGCTCGTCTCGTCTTCATGTATCCGCGAGATTACAAAATATCTTTAAAACATATATTTAGAACGTAAATACCACGATGTATCTAAGATCATCTTTCTGCATCCAGGATTACAAAAATATCTTCACAACGTACAAGCTACTCAGGACGTAATAAATATAATAATATACGTATTGCGTTGCAATATTAAAGAACGTTGTTGCAAAGATACGACTTCCCTTGAAGCAAAATTTTCGCGAAAAAAAGAAGTCAAATAAACTTGAAGTTTCTCGAAAAACTCGTGTTCTTAAAACGGAAATGCGACAAAACCGGACGGCGGTATATACTCTAAACCGGAAGACTCGGAAGTGACATTGTTGGCAAGTGACTTGTTACGTGGTGTTACGTAAACCGCACGTCAGCTGTCAGAAATTTCGTTCTAGTTATCGTCCAATATACGCGCGTTTGCTCCGTCGCGCGTTGTCGTGGTCCACCGTGAAAATGCGACACGAGTTGTCGATGCAGAAAACGGTAAGCGGAGATCGCTTTTTTCAGGATCAATGAACGTGACATCCCCGAAATGGATCTGCGGGAACGAGAACTGAAACTGAAATTGTGACCGTAATAAATAAGCCGCATTGCTCTCGTTTCACATGTTTACTCGTGTCTTTCTCTCGCGGAACGAAGCACTTCACTCCGTTTTCAATACGGTCTCTCGATGCCACGTTTTGCGCAGTCATCCATATATCTGTGCATGCAGCCGGGAACAAGAGCATGCAAGAGAGTCCTCGTATGTCGTATGCAGCCATTATTGTGCGCAGTCTTGCGTAAATACTCATGATTGTCGCCTTATTATAACGCATAAACGACCGAGAGTAGATTCGCGTTAAATTATTCGTAGCACATTTAATACGACAAGGAAGTGACTCTGTACTTCTAATTTAGTTAATATTCTATGTGTTAAACATTAAATTAGAATTTGATCGCTCCATTAAATTTTGTAGGCTCTTATAAAAGTAAAAACTCGAGTATTAATTTTAGGGTTGACAAAGACTAATGTTTTTTTTTTTTTATTGTGAGTACAAATTAGTTCGGTCCGTTTCCCTAAAGATTGCTCTAACTGTTGTGAATGGTTCATAGGGACAGCTGATTTTGGCGATTTCAGAAAGATTAAACATCTACTAATACTAATAATACTCAGTTTATATCACTTTGAGTTTCATACAAAAACCTTGATTTTTACTGTGTTTGAAATGTTGAATTTTGTGTTAACCTAGCAGCATTTGAGAGATTTTGATTTTCTGCTTTAATTGGAAGAAAAGTGCGGCTGAAGCCCATCGAATGCTTGTCGAAGTTTATGGTGACACTGCTCCAACTGGTAAATCATGTAGGGAATGGTTTCGACGTTTCAAGGATGGAGATTTCAGCGTTGAAGACAAGCCTCGCTCTGGACAGCCAAAAAAATTCGAAGACAAAGAATTGAGACATTACTCGAAGATCAGAGTCAAACGTAAGAGGAGCTTGCAGAATCTTGCATTGGGGATAACTCAACAAGCCGTTTCGATTGATTGGGAATGATTCAAAAACAAGGAAATTGGGTGCCTATGAACTGAAACCGAGAGACGTTGAAAGGCGATTCAAAGATAACAGAGAAAAGATTTTTTGCATCGGATTGTGACTGGAGATGTGGATATTCTACAACAACCCCAAGAAGAAAAAATACTACGCTAAGCCAGATCAATCGTTGCCATCGACCTCAACATCAACACCGAACATTCATGATTCAAAAATCATGCTCTGTATCTGGTGGGACCAAAAGGATCTTGTTTACTATGAGCTGCTGAAACCTGGCGATTCCATTACGGGCGATCGGTATCGGCTACAATTGATTCGTTTGAGTGTATTGCGAGAAAAACGGCCAGAATACGAGCAAAGACATAAAGTTATTCTTCTTCATGACAACGCTCGGCCTCATGTCGCTAAAGTCGTAAAAAAATATTTGGAAACGCTCTAATGGGATGTTTTACCGCACTCACCGTATTCTCTGGACATTGCTCCTTCTGATTACTGGTTGTTTTGAAGGATGCAGCAAGTCATCGGTTCACTTCTTTCGCAGAAATCGAAAATTGGCTCCAAAATTGGATCGCCTTCAAAGACGAATCATTTTTTCGAGATAGAATTCGAAAATTGCCTGAGAGATGGGAAAAAGTAGTAGGCAGCGATGGACAATATACTTTAATTGATCTATTCATTCATTTTGTTTTGAAATAAAAAACGGACCGAACTAATTTGTACTCCCAATATAAATCATGTTTTTTCTTAAATGTTTTTATGCTTTAAACAGTATTATAAAAAAATATGTTTAAAACATATTAAAAACATCAATTAAGTATATTTTAAACTGTTTTTTTACTCTGATTTTACAAGAGGACACAATCAAATGAATCTCTCCGGTTTAAATGAGCTTTTAGTATGTTGTTCTACGAACAAAAATAGAAGATACGTATTTTTTATACCTGCTAAGTCGCACGTTAAGGGGGTGAAATCCTCCCTTGAAAAAAATTGTTTTTCTTTCAGATTATCGCCAAAACTGTAAGAAATAGAAAAAAAATTTCAGAATGAAAATTGAATGGATTCAAGAGTATTTTAGAACTACCAAAAATATATTTTTTAATTATTTATTAATAATAAAATTATTTATTTATAAAGATAAAAATTTTTTTTTATTGTAGTTCTAAAGTACTCTTAATGCCATTTAATTTTCATTCTGCAAATTTTTTTCTATCTCTTTAGTTTCGAGGATATTCAATCTGAAACCAATTTTTTTCTTTCAGAGGAAGATTTCACTCCCTTAACATGCGACTCAACTATCTATAAAAAAAAATACGAGTCTCCTATTTTTATCCATAGAACAACTTATTAAAAACTCATTTAAATCGGAAAGATTCGCTTGGTTGTGTTCCTTTGTTAGTGAAACTTTATCATACATGATGTTGCGGATTCTTAATATTTGAAACAGTTTAAGGTCTGTAATATAAAATGTCTCTATTTGTATTTAATATTTAATCTTTATTTAGTATTTAATATTTTGATCATGTTTCGCATTATAATACAATTTTTGATCTGGAGAGAATTTCTTAACTTTAAGTTAATAGAAATTTGAAATTAAAAAAATGAAAAAAATTGTATATTCAATAATAATAAAAAATACTCATTGCTAGAAAAAATTCTTTCTTTTCTCTTTTTTTATCAATGTCATATTTTCCAGAGCAACTCTGATATATTGAAACAGAAAGAGGGGGAAAAATGAAAGGAAAGAATGAAATAGAGGCTCAGGCTTTTTCGTGGAAAAACAAACTAATACGACATTGACGTCCTTTGCGAATCCTCTCATGTTGAGGGATTCGTGAGGGAATTTCATTGAAGACATCCCCATGTATGCTTTCTTCGGGCCAGGGTCGGATTAAGAACCAGTCGCGAGTATAATGCTCCTTTTCTTATCTATTCATGTAGGTACTATGCGTGCTCGAACATTCTGTAAAGATTTCTTCGAAGCTTTCAATGTCTAGCGAGAACCGTATGTCGCATGTATGTTATACGCAAGTTAATCAAAAGGAATGACTTTGTAAATGTTTCTTCATTAGAAATTTTATTATTTATATAAAATTAAGTCAGATTTAATTATCCCTACGTTAAATTTCGAAGATATATACAAAATTAATTTAGAATATTAGTTTAAATTAAGATAATTAAAAAGTGCTGCTTTATCGTAAAAAGATATGAAATAGTACAATAAAAATAAGAAACAAAAATGGGAATGAAAGAATTGAAGCAATCTTGACATGAAAGTTATTTCGCTATTTTTGGAAAGGCGTGAAGTTACTTTGAAGTAACTAAATCCGTCCCTCTTTTGAGAGTGAAATGTGAGATCTGACTCTCTTCACGTCTACACCTACGTGTCGCGACAATCTTGGTGCGCGTGTTCTCTATTCTTATTTTCACAGTATACTCTCTGAACGCGTTCGCAAACGGTCATGACTTCTCTCGATTTCACGCTCTTTCTCGTGCATCATCCGTGTATCGTCTTGGTGTTCACCAAGCAGTTTTCAGCTCAGCGAACTTTTCAACGGCGGAAACTTTCATGTCGCTGCAGATTCATGCATTTTTCGCGAT